GAGCGGTTAAAAATTAGATAACAAAATAAATATTTCTCAAAAAAAGAGAATTCATTTTAAAACAAGACGCACGGCTCTGATTATGATGATTCTTACCTTAGAAAAGAAAGCACGAAATCAGAGACATATAATACAAGAGATTCGCAACTCTAGTAGAGTCTATATAACAGCCAATGAAATAATTTTATTTACACCAAGGATGTGTATATGTATACACATAAACAATCTTACTTTTAAACCGCCATCTCTTTACCCCAAAATAAAAAGACAAAAACCACTACAAATGATTAAAAGACAAAAACCACAACAAATGGTTGTCTCGTGGAAATAAGGTTATAAAATACTTTTAAATAGTGTCTTCCATGTTGCTTTTATGTATGACCTCGGCTCCCACTTCAATGTTGTGAGTTTTTTTTTATAGATTTTGTGTTGCTTCGAGGACACACATATCCATCTTTGTGTGCAGTGTTGTCAATTGTTTTTGTTGTTGGGTCTCTCGCTTATGTCTTCGTCACTTTCACTATCAACAAAGAGTTCGTTATCAGTTTATTCAACTAGGAGTATATCTAAGTCGTAACTATTAAGATTGTCATCCCACGAAATAAAATCGGAATTTTCCATATTGCGTGCACATGAATGACGCTTTATTCAAATGAGAAATTAATTGTAATTTTCTTAAATATTAATTCTCAATACACACTTCGAACATGAAGAAACCATAAATTTACCGACAATCATTTAAAAAACAACTCAATGCAAGCCTATGATGAAACTGTCAAACAACACTTAGAAATCAAACATTTACCGACAATCCTACAGAAAAAACTAAATGCAAGCCCAATTAATGATGAATATGAAAATAAATAAAATTTTAATAATTTATAATTATCAAGAATAAAAAACAAAGCCTATCACGATTAACAATTAATTAACATATAAATAAGTTTTTTTCCCCACATAAATCAATTTTACATTTTGTGAATTGTATTGTTGGAAAGAGTGCGGACACCTGTGGTGTAACAACTTCTTGTTTACAAGGTGTCAATTAAAACTCATTATTGATAACATGTTCGTGATTTACCTGGTCATCGAATAATTCAAACCTAATATACATGTCACACTGTGAAATTATGTCTCCGAGACAGGTGTATATTCAATAGAAACCCATTATGAAACTATCAAATAAAATGAACTCTGATACAATATATGTTTTAGTGTTAATTATTTAATATCAGTTTTTTTTTAATACAATATCAAATTATGTCTATTTTTCAATAATACCAATCTAAAATCAAAATTACATTAAAATAAATAATTAAATATGAACTCAAATTATTTAATTAATTATGATAAATTTAACACTGAAACAGTTTATGTTATGCTTAAACATTCGTCTTTACTGCGAGTACTTTTATTAATGACTTTATTACCTAAGGAGATCTCGCCAGGTTTAACTAGTGACCGCGTGTTTTTACGGGATTTCGCCGAGTTGCGAATCTCTTCTATTATATGTCTCTGACCTGAGACTACTATAACACACATATGTGTTATAGTAGTCCCAGCTCTGACGAAATATAGCAAATAATTTTAAGTGCAAAATAAATAATCTAAAGTAGAAGTTTTTTTAAACGAATTGGACATCACATGAGATAACAGTATCCTGAAAATATTAAGGTTTTGCATCTATTGAAAAAAAAGATGTAAACCTATTTTAACCGGCATCAAACAAGTTGATTTACGTTTTGAAAATCTCTAACATAAGCTTTATATATATAGCGTTTCAGATAAATAATTCAGAACTATGTGGTTTACCAAGCGCCCATCATTTAGGAGTAACAGTGAAAACTGACCAACTCGCAGAAGGTCAAATAGTATGGTTAGGTTGAGTATGTATATATATTTTCTACTGAACTTTAAGCAATAAAATGGCTCAATACACGTTGTGTTATCTCAAATTTGATTTCAAATTTTTCTGTTTTGCTCTATGACTGCTTACTTTCTGCAGTCATGTCGGCAGATGAAATTATTGCTTGTACATTTTGAACGATCATCTTTAACCTTTTAATCAACTATTTCAGTTATTTATAAATGGTTGTCCTTCAAATATTCGGCTTTGAGCGTTCCTGATAAAGGTAGATCCAGAAAAGCGCTTCGGACGCATGCAATTTTTGACGTTTTGTTTTCTATCGATTGCATGACGATCATATATATATTGCCTTGTATCATTGATTTTAGTTCTAAGTATTGGTACAGTAGGAAAAAATAAACTTAGTGAACGTTGTGCTAGCCTCGAATGTTGGTGGTTGTTGATATCTTTTTTACGCTTTTATTTGCATACCAAATATCATTGACTTAACATTAGCAGTTCATCTTAAACTGATCTAATCACAAACTAATACATGTAAACTAAGCAAAAGTTAAAAGTAAATAGATCATGACTGAGGGGGCGGGGCCAAATATTCTCCATGGAAATGAGATGTGCTAATGCTTATACAACTGAACACCAATTAACATTGGCCTACCACTAATGTTCCCCTTCAAGGCATTGAACTGACCTAATCACGAACTAATACATATAAACTTAGCAAAACTTTCAAAGTCAATAGACCATGACTAAGGGGGCAGAGCCAAATTATCTCCATGGAAAATGAGATATGCCAATAGATAAAGGAAGATGTGGTATGAGTGCCAATGAGACAACTCTCCATCCAAGTTACAATTTATAAAAGTAAACCATTATAGGTCATGGTACGGCCTTCAACACGGAGCATTGGCTCACACTGAACAGCAAGCTATAAAGGGCCCCAAAAAATTACTAGTGTAAAACCATTCAAACTATGCTTATACAACTGCATACCAAATATCATTGACCTACCACTAGTGGTTCCCTATAAATTGACCTAATCACAAACTAATACATGTAAACTATGAAAAGTTTCAAAGTCAATAGACCTTGACTGAGGGGACGGAGCCAAAAAATCTCCATGGTAATGAGATGTGGCAATGCTAATACAACTGCATACCAAATATCATTGACCTACCACTAGTGGTTCACCATGAACTAGACCTAATCACAAACTAATACATTGTTGACGTCGCCGCCACCGTTGCTGAAACAGCATACCATGTCTCGCTTTTTGACTCCGTCAAGGCGAGACAAAAAAGCAGCTATGATCAACATGATCATTGGTCATGATGGTGATGTAAATAAGATTGCACATGCTGAAATGTCACGTCTCAGCTTTACCTACATGTACATGAGTATAATTGAATTGTTGTTGAAATTCTGTAATTTGAAGGTTTTACTAGCCTACAAATCACATACACTTTACATTATTAAAAACTACATTAAAATGAAGTCAGGTAAAATTAACCATGCCAGATAGATGATGTAAACCTTAGTCATTCCATACCTAAAATTTAGTGGTATATATACATAGTATCTGAGAAAAAGACCAAACATCCAAAGCATGAAAATTACATTGTCCAATGAACCTTGAAAATGAGGTCATAGTCAGATGAAACCGGCCAATCAAACATGTACACCTTACAATCATACCATATCATACATATCATGCCAAAATAGTGATCCTATACATGTAGCTTATAGCATCTAAAGAAACATTGGAAAATAGATCAAACCACAAACACTAAACATTGTTCAATGAACCCATGACAGGTCAATGTCTGATGAACCCTATCAGTCAGACATAATACACTGTACAATTGTTCCATACATCAAATAAACATGAAGTTGATTTACTGGCATGACTGGAGTACTGCTTATATATATATATATATACACAAAAAAAAGTTTCTTTTCAAGCGGTGTACAGAATTATATATTAAAAATTAAATACACAAAAAGAGTTTTAAAAGCAGCATTGTCTAGCGCTTTCATCCATCTTGGGACTTTTCAAGACTATGAACGTCGTTATGAATTTCGTTATAGGGAACACATTAGTAGTCTTGAAAAGTCCCAAGATGGATGAAAGCGCTAGACAATGCTGCTTTTAAAACTCTTTTTGTGTATTTAATTTTTAATATATATATATATATATATAGTATCTGCGAAACAAACTTAACAATGTGACTATAAAATAACCTTAGTCACTTATCCATGAAATAAAGTCAAGGTCTGGTCAACCCAACCTGATAGACAAAAAGACCTTGAAAGATACTCATATACAAAAAATGTATCCAATTACTCATATAAGAGAGCATTTCACTGTTAAAAAAAAAAACAGCATTTTTTTCATAGTCACTGAACCATGAAAATTATGTCAGGTGCAATGAACATGATGAACATATGAGTATAATGAAAGACTGAAACTTCATAACATATTAGCTATCTGAATACAAGATAAGAAGCATCCAGATCTTTTAGATTTTAAAATGTAAAGCTTAAAAAATAGTTTACATCACCCCCCCCCCCCCCCCCAGATTGTAATATCTATTTCTTGCATACCACCAACTTTTGTCGTAGGTGAGACAATAAAATGATACTTTGAAGTACATGCATTGTTTAATATGCTTGACCAGTATAAAATGCAAGTTTCAGTATGACCAATAATTTAGACTATTATCAATATACATGTATGTACATTCAGACTCTTATAAGTACAACAAGCAGTCATTTGACACTAACCAACAAGCATGCGAGGGCTGTGACAGACCCTCATGGGTAGTCAAGGTTGTTTAACACCCCCTGGTGGTACATGTAGCTCACAATAGCAATGACAGCATTAACTTCAGATGTGATGTACTATAAATTTCACAGAAACCAGAAATTCTCATTATCCAAATTTTAAATGAATAATTATCCAAGGTATTCATGAATTCAGATATGATGCACTATGGAGACACCTAAAAATCCATAGGGAAAACCGGTTGTGTCAGTCCTGCAATACAATTGAGGATGAAAAACATTATTTTTTCTTTTCTATTGCAGGAAAAACGCTACCATTAGACCCTTTTTTCATTGAAAAATTAACAAAGGCTAAAAGTATAGAAAATTTTAATAGCCTCAATGAAAATGAAAAAATGATAAATATTCTTTGCCCATCAACACAAAAACAGATAGAAAGCTTAAGCATAGGTTCCTTTATAAAAACGTCATTGGCACTAAGGATAGGGGACTCATAATTGAATTTTGAACTATTTTCATTAGTTTGTTTAATATGATTATACATGCTTTTTTCTTGTCATTTAATGTATATAATTATTAATGTTGTTTTTGTCACAAATCGTATAAGTTGGTTTATATGGCAATACAAGTTTGATTTGATTTGACTATTAGTAATCACAGAAACTATGAATTTTCATTATTCCAATTTGCTATTCTAAATGAATAACTATCCGAGATATTCATGGAATTCAGATATGATGCACTATTAATATTCCCAGAAAACTATGAATTCTCTTTATTCCAAATTGTTATTTCAAATGAATAATATATCAAAGGTATGCACTGTCATCAAGTAATGTAGTCTTTCTTACAAATTGTAAGTTTGCTATTTGTTCAATGCACAATTTTCTTCTTGTCCAATCTAATCCGAACATCCCATCAACATCATGGCATAATGCTGTAAGCCCTATTTGTTATTTACAAAAGCAATAAGTAAACACAAAATTATGAATTATTCCACTGTTTCACAATTAGCAGCTATGAGAGTTACTTAGTGACATCTATATATATTTCCTATATCATGTATATGCCGGCTTCATAATCTGGCTGGGAATGATGCTCAAACTAATGTGAATTCTACAAAAAAAAAAAACATTAAGAATAAAGTACTGAAACTAATCTAATATTGTATATATTTACTTGTATTTATCTAGAAGAAAAACCGGCGAGTCTAATTTGCTTGATAACAAAGTTCTATGACTAATACAACTGTATTTATGACTTATACAATTGAACTTATATATAAGTCTCATATAACAAGAAGAATAAAATCTTTCTTTGGGTTTCTATTTTTAAAAAGATATTGTCTCTCTTTCTACATTAATGTTTTCTTATATGTGTACTTCATTGAAGGGTTACTGTCTAATTGAGGCTAGCACTTTGCATTTGTTTTGATCAATTCTTTAAAGTCTGACATAGTTATTTCTCTCTAAAACACAGCAGCTGATATTTCTTTTGATCATTTTATAAAATTACTACAAAGATAAGTTTAAAGAATGATTAATAAAAACAGAAATAAATGCGTTTATATCTAAAAATTTCTTTATTTTAGAAAGAAGGTATATTTTGGATGATATATTAGCACAAACTTGGTCAATTTGATTTCTCCAGTTAAGTGTGCTGTCAATTTTAACACCTAATAATTTTTCACATGAAGAATTTTGTAATACTTTTGAATTTATTATCAAGTTTGGTTGATAAGTCTGAATTGATAGTTTCTGCTTTGTTCCAGTAACCAAACATTTTGTTTTATTTGCATTAATGAACATGTTATTCCTTTTGCACCACTCTTCAACCCTGTGTTAATCTTCTTGAACATCATCATGTATATTTTATATGTTTTTCATGTGGACGACCATTCATGCCAATTCCAAAACATGATTAAAAGGAGATGTTGGGTATATATTCCAAAGAGACAGCAGTCCCAAAACCAAGACAAGTAAAAAGGCATCAATCAATTTCGACTAACCATGCTAACAGGGCAAAATTTATGTAATAACTGACAAAGTTCACATGAAAATATATAGTATAGGCCACACTAATTTGAATCATAGTTCTTTGGATTGAATGATAATAATATGTGTGCCGTGTGCAGAGCGTCATCCCTCCACTATTACATGATAAAGTATATACAGATATTTTATTCATCATGTTCATTGTAATTATTCATTTTGAGAAAAGATGAAACCTCCACAACACTTGTTCAATATGAATCCTTATAGGTACACGCCTGGGGGTACTGTACATGATGAAACAATTAACTCATTTTGTTTTATCAACTGTTTTTAAATGGCAACTGTTATGACTCTGTGCATTGTTTCAGGAATATTAATTTAATAACATTGTGAAGTTGTTTTATTTTGATGATTAATTTTATTTTGAACAATCTAATAGATATTCACTTTCAATGCTTTATTATATTATAAAATCTATTCATGTTTCGTTGTCCACGACTCAGGAATTATTTGAAAAATATACTGAACATGCATTTTTGCTAAATAAGTCAATAAAATTAATAATTTTCACAACATTTTATATATAAATATTTGATTTGTAGTAAAATTCAACTTGAATTATCTCAAATTATATTAAGTAATTTTATAATAGTAATTATTGTACATCGGCATCGCCCACAAGGTAATTAAGTAAAACAAGGGACATACTTATAAACCAGCGTTAGCAAAGTTATTAAATGAATATGGACATGTAAAGATTGTTTGGTTGGTAATAAAAAATCCAGTGACAAATTAATCATGCAAAATTAGGACGAGACAGTTATCAATACATTAACATTATCATGATTATCATACAATATGTATAGGTCCTGTAATAGGCCATCCTGCACAACCAAACCAATGCACCACATGTTAGGGTTTTACAGTAAGACGATGAACAGGGGTGGATCCAGCCATTTTTAAAAGGGGGGAGGGTCCCGACCCAGGATAAAAGGGGTTCAAACTATATGTCCCCTTTCAAATGCATTGATCCTCCAAAAAAGGGGGATCCAATCCCAGGAACCCCTAGCCCCGTCACTGGATGAAGACCAAGAGTAACCTTTTTTCTATTCCTTTCAATTTGTCACCCTTGGCCTTGGGATGTATTTGAAGTACATAAGTCGTAAGGGTTTAAATGACATAATTTCATAAACATGATAAAGGGGAGGGGAATGGTGTCATACATGAATTTCAACGATGCATAAACTTTTTACAATCCTACATCCTAACGTTGTATTGGAACATGCCACTATGCACGAGTGCGATGATATAGAACGTTGATTCATACCTGTAGGAACAAATGTGCACATTTTTCCTTCAAAATCTTGGATCCATGATTATTCTCAAATTCTGATGGACATGCTTTAAAATGTTGTTCATTTCTACTCACCGATTGCAATATTCAGAGCAGCTTATATTGTACTGTAAGTTTTCCTTCCACGATTTTGTGTAAAATATAGTTTGCCGACCTGCTTTTCCGCCGACAAAATGCAACAAAAATAAAGTGGGTACAGTAACGTTAAATCGTTTACGGGTGAAGAATTGTTTTCCGTTTTTAATAAAACTTGACAGATTTGATTAATCATTATCGAAAAATGTCCCTAATGGATAGTAATTCAAATTAAACCAGTTTTATTATGCTGTATAATATATATGTAACTTAGTCATATTCTTTAAATTTACTTCACATACACCGACGGAACATTTTCACTTCCGCATAATCATCATGATAATTTATCAAATATATTTCAAATATAAATTTGAATTTATGAATTCATAAACCATCATCTCCAATAATATATAAACTCTATTTTTAAACGAAGGCTTCTGGTATGTAAAACAAGTTATAAAAGACTCTAAATAGACAGAATTAAAAAAATAAAAGATACCTTTAGGAAAGTCGAATGCACAAGTCAAACACGATCGCAAAATAATGAAATAAACAACAACAATATATTTTTTTTAAATATAAAACATGTTTAATAATTACATAGGAAAAAGTAAGAATTGAAATTGTTTTATTTTTTTAATTAAGTAGACATGGTAAACTATCAAAGTAACATAAACCGTCTTCTTTCTAATTTGTATTTTACTCTTGAAGGGGAGCAACCCCTGATACACACTGGGAAAGTTTCACTCGTTTTGTGTCCAAATTATTAAAATCTGAACACGACTGAACACGGTCTGACAACATCTTGACGTAATTTTGTATCCATGGTCTGATTTCGACTGAATCAGTCGTAACGGATCTTAACAGCTCGCTAGAAGATTCAGTCTTGTTTATCTTGACATGCCTTAACGGACTGATTTACCTGATGCGACTATCGATCGGAACGGCGTCTGAAAAGTTCTTAAAAGTCTTGACGTTTTTCTCTAGCGGTAAATCCAGTCGATTAAGATATGATCAGACCAAAATGACCGTTTCAGACTGAAATCGTGCTACTAGTGATTTATACTTAAAAAAAAAATATTTCCCATTTTGTACAGTTTCAAAAGAGTTGCAGCTTAATGAAATCAAACTAATGCTTTAATATTATAAATAGATTATGATAAGTTTAGTAATACATAGAAATAAAGGCCTGAATGTTACATTCATAAAATATATATATATATGATAACCAAAAATATAAATAGCACTACAGAAATATACATATATATTTATTAAGTTCAAAGATAGATAACTCTTCCTTTTAGAAGTCATAATCAAAAATACTCATGGTGTTAATCATGAAAAGAATTGTGCTCTTACCTCTGTCTGTCTGTCTGTCTAGCTAACATTAAATATCACTCTTAACCAATCGAACCACCATAATCTGGATTTCTAGTCTTCACTTTACATTCAACCAAATATAAAACTGACACACAATGCATATTACAAATATAAAAAATCCTCATAATATAGTTTCTTTTTTATACTTAACCAATTGTTTAAAATATACACACAATTGATATACAACACTCAAAATCATTAACAAATTTAATCCAACATAATTAAGATGTTTCAGTTATGTTTCTTTATAACGTAATTTATTAAAAGAAAACATGATTTGTGTCTAGTCAAGAATTTGTATAGTGTCACTATACAAATCCTTGGTCTAGTGCACACATTTTGCTTCATTTTGTATAATAAATATTATTCTCATACATGTTCTTTCAATTTCAGAGAGTAAAAAAGAGCAACAGGATTCAAAATAAATGTTATGACTTTATTAATTGTTTTAAATGGTTAATTTGTTTGTAAATGTCCTGTTTGTTAATGTCTTTTATTATGATTTTATTTATGTTTTATTATATTTGTGATATTAACCATAGTTTTTATTTCACATGGCCTTCCAAAGTTTTAAAATACATTGATATTCAAACTTTTAAAAAGTTTATAGTCCAGCAAACATGCCACCCATTACAATTTCCACGTAATTGTTACGAATTTTGAACAAAATTACAAAGTTACAATTAACAGGATTAACAGTCTATTAAATATGGTTTAAGGTTACCATTTATTTTTGTGGACAATGTTGTTCTTAAAATAGTGCAAGTAACATACACAAGATGAACCGCTTGGATAAGGGTATAAAAGGTGAATTCTGTGTAAATATCACTTACCTCGCATTTATGTAAGTCCTGTAAGGAGGGATTTAAATCCCCCAGTCTTCAACATCCTGTACAATACATATCACCAGCAGAAGTTAAAACCAGACGATGAGTTTCGAAAATACACCAAAAATGGACTGAACTGCAAATGGAAGAAGATGATTGATTGATTGTTGGTTGCTTAACGTCAAGTGGCAAATATTTCATGCATATTCAGGACGAGAACAAGTTCACAATAAATACAATAGGTAGGTCTGTAATATATTAAGGGATTAAGGTCGGAGAAATTTAGACTGCCACGGATAATGAGGGTATATTGGATAAGGACAAACATTTAGCCTTGCAACAGGTCACCTACGGACCCCTCAAAGAGTTGTTGCAAGGGTTCTTAACGTGCAAAGAGCGTGGCACTCTCTTTACACGAGGCATCGGATTTAACGTCCCCATTCTGACCGGACGTGGCTGCAAATTTGTACATCCCGCACAGCCAAACGGACGCCCCACTTTGACGAGGGTTTTACCGCCGGTCGGAGGAAGACCAATGGTGACCATACTTCTATTCCCCAGTCACCCTTGGGGACCAAATGGAAGAAGAAGAAGAAGACACTTGTTTAAGACGTGTCAGATGGAACTGTAATTACCATCACTGCATATTGTACAAGTGGACACTTGATTGTAAAATTGAGCTCACACAAATTTTTAGCAAGAACCTGTTAGTAAGTAACACTTTTTGTAGGGTAAACAGCCTCTCATCACAATTTGCAGAATTTTCAGCTTCAATTATTTCTCACATTTACAATAAAATTTAAAGGCAATGTTTAATGCCTGTTATTGAACACACGTGGACATTATTACCTGAAGTGCAGTTGGAAAAAAATTAAAACCGATATCGCTAGTAACGGTTAGCAGAAAGTAAAATAACAAGTATACCAAACTCCGAGGAAATTCAAAACGAAAAGTCCGTAATCAAATGGCAAAATCAAAAGCCCAAGCACATCAAACGAATGGTGAAGCATATGATTGGAGGTGTGATTCATTAGGCTTGAGTTCGAAAGATTGTACCTATTCATTCTTTGATATTGAAACCCAACGCATTGTTATATTTGTTGTGACTAAGGTAACTGAAACTGTCATCTTTTAAAGTAATGAATATTGCGGGATCCCGAAAATGCATGACTCGTCTTTTTCGACATTAGGGTTAAGGATTGAAGAAATTGTTAACCACAGATCGGCATGTTCATATACGATGCATTATGAAGATGGAATTTCCAGAAGTGTCACATGAGTTCGATGTTTGGAATTTGTGAACAATAATAAAAATCATGTGATACAGAAGTGGATAAAAATCTGAACCGAGGGCTTACATAGGCTTGGCCTGTTAACAAATGCAATTCTTTTTTTTTCTAATCAAGTATTGTCCAAATTAAACATGAACAACAGTGCTATTGGACATAAAATTTAAAGAACACACAGATGCAGAGCAAATTTCATCCAGAATAGATCAAAGGGTTAAGAGTTAAAAACATTCGATCATTGATGGAATGATTGACATAAATCGTTCAGACATACCATATGAAACAGGACTAGGACGTATATCAAGGCAATCCATATGTTGATGATACATGTATTTAAATGTGTAAAGTTTGGGAACAATCTTTAATCAGGATTGATTGTTGGTTGCTTAACGTCCAGTGGCAAATGTTTCATGCATGTTCAAAACTAAAAGAAATCAAGATTAAATACAATAGGTAGGTCCGGTAAGAGGTCAAATGGGTTGCAGGTCGGGAAATTGTGGACTACCACGGGAAAATGAGGGCATATCGGATAAGGACATGAATTTAGCCTTGCAACAGGCCACCTGCGGATTCTTCAAAGAGTTGTTGCATGGGTTCTGAAGTCACAGATGCGTATCAACATCAACTTAATCACAAGTTCCTGACATAAGTTTAGTAATCAAATTTCATTTGAAAAGCCTAGTGTTAATTATCAGCATGGTATAATGTTTATTTTTTTTAACCGGTTCTTCTTTAGAAAACTGTTGAAAAATTTGCATTTACATTGTATAGCTACAGTTTATTTATATTTTAGGTAGAAGAAATATCTATGCTAATTGATAAAAGAATAGTTGCCAAAGTTGAGGATTATGTAACTGAGGGATACCTATCAGCTTCATGTATCCTCATTATATTGGACATATCCGTTGGAAAACAACTTTTTGCAGGACATAGATCACAATCTTGGACAACAGACGATTTTTTGCCCAACCAGAAAGACGTGTCAAATTTAATATATTCAACTGGGCTAAGGACAGTCAAGTCAAGAAAATTTAGTTGCATGTGTTGAGGAATGGAGACGGGAAAACCCAGATGATTTGATTAGGTTTTATTTAGTCCATCAGACGATACATCAAGACTTGTTTATCTACCAATAAAGACAACAGAGGAGACTGCTTCAACGATATTGCAATGATATGCTACTTATAGGACCTCAAAGTACTCTGTTCCTTTTTTTCATTGTGTCAAAACAAACATGGACTATGCTGTTGTTGCTGTTTTTTCCAGCCAATATGAAGACATCAAAACCATAGCCGCAGCTTAAGGAAGATTAAAGGAATGGAATTCTGAGCAAAACTTTACAAAACCCGATTTTCACAACAAAAAAAAAGTTTAAATCAGACAGAACTACTTATTATAGTGACAATAGAAATAAGTAGACTACAGTATTATCTTCTCATTCCGGAAATCAAAAAAATTGCCTTATTCTTAAATGTATGTTAAGTATTGAAATGTTACTAGTATCATTTGTTATATTTATTTATTGGAAAACTAGATTGAAAAATAGGATGACATGGAAAAGTTAAATCAGGACGAAGCAGTTCTCATTACCATAGAATCTGCAGGAATAAGTCTGAGGATATCTGCAACATCCAAGCTTACTATTTCCATAGCCTTTGGAGCCTATTTATTTTGGAAATGACTGCCAAAAAAACCATCTTAGACCAGTTTTGGGAAGGTGCATTTTACTGGACAATAAGCCATTGCTATATTCTGTTTCACAAAAGCAACATCTCCAAGAAATTATTTTTGAAGAAAAGTTATTCAGAGGCTGTCAGTGGAATATCGGAAGAAAAAAAGAAAAGTTACAAGTTTAATTTTTTTTATATGGTTTAATTATGATATTGGTTTATCATTGTCTTCCATATTGTGAGATTTCGTAGTTTGTAGTTACGCTAGTTTTACAACAGATTGGGAGTGCACAGAATAAAATTAATAAAAATCTGTAACAAGTTACTCATCAAGTAAATCAGCTATAATCAGAAAAAAGGCACAATTAGAGAC